TTTATTCATGAGATGAATTATGCACTTTAAAGATATAAGATGTAGTCAATAAAGAACATAAGAGTGGCCTGGAGTCTGAAACTGCCCAAATGATCAATGCACTATAGTTCATGCAAGCTTTCTGCACTTTGATGAAATCGCTTTCATTAGCCATAATCAATACTTTTAATTTAGCATGCATGTAAAAGGTCACTTGTAATGATGAGGCCATAGTGAAATATTACCTTACTCTGCACGTCCTCTGAGCTCTACACAGCTCAACGATTTCTGTCTTTTACATTTTAACATTTTAACATGCAGATGTTTTAAGTGCAGATGTGACATTTTAAAAGCAGACTGCTATATAAACAAAAAAGCCTGCTGCAGCCATAATGTATGTCACAGAAATGTGCCAAAAAAATCAGTCTTTCACAGAAGAACTTTCTGGTCTATGTGGGCTGTCTCAGTTACATAAAATGAGCCTGGCTCCTGCGTTATAACATGCTACTGCCAGCCCAATTGCAATTATTCATGCAGTTTTTTAAGCTACTCTTCGTATTGTTTAGTCTTAGCCTAGCTTTATTATCACACCTGCAAAGTGTCTACCTATTTTCAGCTACTTATATCTGCAGTCTTATTCATTTGGTCACTACCCACAGCTTGGGGCCATAAATGGGGGTGGTAGGCCTGTTCAAAAATAGTGTTAACAATTGCTTTAGTATAAACCTCAATATTCTGCTGTCCTCTGTACAACCTTGAACATCAGTTTGATTCAACATGTTAATTTTAATGTCACTGATTTTGATATTTAGCCATAGCTGACCTTTTTCAGATTATGCCATATCGCCTTTCGTCACAAACACATAGTCACAGCCTCTCCTGTGTGTCATCTCTTACTCAGTCATCTTTGCTTTCTGCTTGAAAATCAACCAGTTCACTTTCTTTTTTAAGGTGAGCTATCATTCTAATTTACAGATTTGTATTCTTATTCTTAGACTACCTATTTTTATTACACTGAGCCTTAATTCTGCACCTCAGTTCAGCTGCTGTCCTCTCCTCCTCCCACTTCAAGCTCGCTTTCTTCTGACTTGATGCCTCTGGATTTCAGAAGGCTTAAACAACAGATTGCTGGGTTCATAGCCAGAGTTTTATGCCTAAGATGATCATATTAAAGATATCTCCTCGCTTTCACATCATGCGGATTCTTAACTGGAAATACAAACTGCATGAAAGCAAGCGCATAGAGAGGTTTGAAGCCTCTGCTTTCAGTTCACCGGCATCATTTGCACAGTTTGTATTGTTGCGTTCTTTGAAACTGAGCATTTTTAATATGAGCATCTACTATCCTCATGCTCTACCTTTTCTCTCTTGTTCCTTGCCATATGATCTATACTCCAGCACCCCCAAATAGTAGATCACACACAGAAGCATTTAGCACACTATCGAAATTGGTGAGAGCTCCTGTGTTATGGTCCTAATTCACACTTTTATACTCCTACAGTCCTCCTGTTTTTCCCTTTTTTTGCTTTATATCACATGATGTGTTGATTGAGTAACATGCAATGTCTAAGGATCAACTAGACAAGACGGACATTTTTTTTTTAACTTGTTGAGGAGAACTGAAACCATCCAACCTCTGGCACAAACTGCTCCAGAAATAGGGTCTGTTTTTGTAAGAAGATCCATCGCAGAGATGCAGCCGCCTCCCTTTTCCCCGCCCTGATCTGCCCCACTGGGACTGCGGTGGTCTGTCAGATCTCTGAAGTGGAGAGAAGTGTCTGTTATGTGATTAGAGGGTCCGTTAAACGTATTTAGAGGCCGTTTGTACTCGTCCCGCATCGTTTTGCATTGCTAGATTATAAGTTGATTTTAACTCTAAGCTTGGCTAAGCAGAAGCAATGTGTTTGTATCTATTTTAGATGCCAAGAAATGTGGAGGTTAAGGATGAATCATACCTATCAAATACACAGATCAACCTGCCCAAAACAGCTCTGACCCATCAGGTCATAAACATGGGAGCCTTTTGGTCCACTTGGTTGTGGGTTAAGTCTTCAGTATTTTCAACACATGCTTGATCAGATTTGGATCGTGGGAGTTTGTGTGTTTTCATTCCTAAATAACATTCACTCAGTTGCCAGGACTCCTGATTTTTCCAGCATATCATTGCAGTGCAATGGCATGATCGGTGTTATTCAGAGGTTTTAATTTTGTCTGATAAAACTTGCAATTCTTTCCTGCAGCGGATTGCTTTGTGTTTCAGATTTGTGCTATTTTCAGGGGACTTCATATTTCCGTCTGCCCGCCTGAATTTCCTGTTTCATTTTGAAGTTCCTGTTTGTCCCCAGACAGAGATTTTTTTTTATTGTGTAACCATTTTCCAGGCATCGGCGCTCACTTTTGTCTTGCTTTTTACTCTCACATGGTGATATTGCTGCCGGTTAGCTCAACAGCAGTTGTGCAGTGGGGAGAGATGGATACTTGACAGAGGGAGGGAGGTTGTAACCGTGGGAGTCCGTCTGTCAAGCGAGTTTTAAAGTCTCCTCCCTTAGGAGCGCTGCGATGTGCTGCTCACTTTGTTCAGACATTTTTACCCAAAAATGATGCACTCGACACAGCTGTCATGTGTCAGAGCGGTGCTTTTATTTTGACATTCCCAGATAAGTGGTTTCGAAGGGATCGGAAAATATTTTGACAGCAGGTTATTTTATACCACTAATAACATTTCTTATTTTACAACGTCTTTATCAGAAAACATCACTTCCTTGTCTGACTTACATTTTCTGAATAATATAGGAATTTACTGCATGGGTGAATCCAATAGAAAATGCTGCTATCTCATCATCGCTGACTTTTTTGTGAGGCTGTTAAAACAACCACAAGGGAACCAGAGAGCAGCTGATTGCAGGAAAGTAAGAGGAAGCCGGCTGAGACCGAACATGTTAGTGCTGCACCGGGGGGTCTCTCGGGTGTCATGCTGTCTTCCTCCTGCAGAGCGGCACGTTGAAGGAAAGGATGTCAGAGAAGGGTCTCATACGGTGGCATTTCAGCGCTGATGTCATCAGAGCCTTTGCAGCAAATCATGGCTCCTAATAAATTCTGTGCAAACCAACCTTCTTTTCACATCTCCTTAGCTGTCTGTTATTTTTATTGATCATTTAATTTTAGTAAATTGTTCTGTCTGTAACAAGGTGGCATATAATAAGTTCAGTGGCACTTTTAAATATTCTCTCTGCAATTTTGCATGCATTGTTTTGTCTTTTCAGTCATTTGAAAGTCTCAGTTGACTATATTCATATTGAATTATATATTCTATATTAAAACCATATCCAAACTGTAAACCTAAAGGCAGCTACAGTTTGTTCATTTATCCATTTTTGAAAGGACAAATGGGACCGGCACGCCCTGAATAATTCACAGCCTTTAATTGTGCAAGCATAAGAGAGCAGCTGTGTCAGCTGCTGAGAACCTTGACATTATTGCCAATTGATCCACTTGCCAACCAAAGGACGAGAGGACATAGACTGTATATAAAAGATGGACACAACAGACCTACACACTAAATATCTAATCTAACAGAGAAAAAGGTCATGCAATAGGAACCGCTCCTTAAAGCGTACCATGCCCTTTTTGTTGTATGTGTTCTTCTGACTGAGGCCATATTTTACCAAATGAACTTTATATTTCATTTAGTTGAAATGAACAAGTAAACTGATTTTTGCTCAGGTGATAAATCAAGTAAGAAATAGGGTCATTTTCCCATAGACTTCTGTACAGTCTTGATTTCTTTTATAGCTATAGCCGCCCCTTGTACCGGATGAAGGCGTCACTTTTCAGTCCCAGGTGCAATGAGAGGCCTCTTATAAATATAGTCTATGGTACCTCCCTGTGAAATGTGAGGAGTTTGCTGATTTCCTATATTGTTAAAGCTGGAATGAATTTTGTGATTTGTAATCTGTTTCTGAATATTTTTGCCAGCTAATCCACTCCTTCAGTGTGGGAAGTTTTGTTATGCTCTATGTTATTTTTCACAAACTGTTGCAGAGTTTAAGGCAATGTGCACACAACCAGCGCTTTGTTAGTTTTCTTTCTCCGGCCCTCACACCTTCAGGCTGCTAATGTGTCTAACGTCCAGAGAGTGTCAATCTCTGAGGTGCTGAAAGTGGAAATTTCAAGAACTTGAAGTTGTCACCTGTTCTTTTCCTCGCCACCTTCTCACATGTGCTTCCACGCTGTGGCTTCAGCAGCATGAGTTCACTTTTAGGAGCGCGTGCTGCTAAAGTCAAGGCGGTCGCCACACGCAAAAAAAACGAGTTAAACTTTTACAAAGCTGCGTCCGCTGTAACTGATAATTTTGTGATGTGACTTGTGTAAGCCACATCAGTCAGTGGCCAAATGCATCTCTACACTGAAGTAATTTCTTTGCAGTTCTGTGGTTGTGAACACAGTTATTTAATGCTCACTGGTAGCCGTGTGTCCTCTGACTTTTCATTAGCTTCTTACCAAGGGTGCCTGTAGCTGGCAACATGTGTGCTGATCAAACACATGTTTTTAACACAGTGTGTCATTAGCCAGCACGCCACACACACTCACACACACCCTTCTGCATCGATGCCTGTTTTGTTATCTCATGAAACTGCACCACAGTAAAGGCCACAAGGAAAAGGGGAATTTTCCAGAGTTTAGTTTTAGTTTGAGGTCTTGTTTATAGATTTTAAAAACAGCAACCCATCCTTTACTCAGCACATGCACGGCACATATATAAGCTGTCAGATTCCTACAGTGGCAAAATGTTCCTCCTTAAGTGGTGACTGAAAAAAGGTGTGGCTCGCCAGTCCCAGTGGCCCTCGGCTCACCAGAAAATTACACACTAAATCTGTTTCACTGGTTTTATTTTATTGACTGCCGTTATATTTGCTTTTAAGGTCAACGCTGACAGTATAAAGAGTGAAACGAAGCACTTTTTCTAGGATGTTTACCAAACCTTCTGATCTTGTGTTCCCTCTCCCCTTCTTCTATACCAGTGAACAGAGTATCTGCCAGGCGCGGGCCTCTGTGATGGTCTACGATGATGCCAGTAAGAAATGGGTGCCCATCAAGCCTGGGCAACAGGGCTTCAGCCGAATCAACATCTACCACAATACTGCCAACAACACCTTCAGAGTGGTGGGCGTTAAACTGCAGGACCAGCAGGTGAGAGTCACAAGCAACCAGCAGCGCACGTCGCATGACGAGTGGATGTTTCGCTGGATAGTGTTAGTGACAATTCAGTATAAATACAAATCTATTGATTTTCCTATTTCCATATAAGGTTGTAGATTACTATTATTTTTATAATTTACAGTATCACTAAAACAGAGAGGATTTCCAATTATACACTCACCAGCTACTTTATTAGGTACGCTTTGCTAGTCCTGAGTTGGACTTCCTCTAACCTTAAGAACTGGCTTAATTCTTAATTTTTTATTCAGCAACTCTCACATCTGGAGACACAGATGTTGCTTGACAAAGACATGATAGCATCACACAGTCCTGGAGACTTGTCTGGTGCATGTTGATTATGTCCAGCACATCCCAGAAGCACTCTGTTGGATGTAGATCTGGTGACTGTGGAAGTAGAGAGAACTCAAACGGCATCTCAAGATGTAGCCTCAGTTTCCTTTTGTTAGCTGGCGTTAGTGGCACCTGGTGTGGATGCTGTAGAACATCTGCTTCAAGCATCAAAATGCTGGACATTCAGAGATGGTCTTCTGCACTGATACTTACTGATTGTAACAAGTAGTTATTTGAGTTTCTGTTGCCAACCATCAACTCAAAGCCGCCTGGTCATTATCCTCTGACGTCTGGCATCAATAACTAAACTGCTGCTCACTGGATGTTTTTGTCTTTTTGGACCAATCTGAAATTCCAGCAGATGAACAGTTTCTGAGATACTCAGACTATCTGACACCAGACATCATGCCACATTGAAAATCACTTAAGCCAACTTTTTCCTTCATTCTGATGCTCGATTTTAACTTCATCAGGTCGTCTCGACCATGTTTACATGCGTAAATCCATTCAGTTGCTGCAAAGAAACACTGCTGATATTCATGACTGGATTTGTGTTTTCACTCCTGTTTTAATGGTTCTTTAGTTTTATATGGTTCAGACTGCTGATTTCGTTTATCTTCATGCAGTTGTTATTGTGTCATACGCATGCAAGATAATAGCTCAGGGTTTATAGATTGCATTTCAGAAAATGTAATCCCTCTTTTGCTCTGCACGTGGACTAGTTTAATGGCCGGCTGAGGCATACCTGCTCAGACGTGACTACAAATAAACTATAAACCAGGAAGCTTCAGCTACAAAAAAATCTTCCCTGCTCACGGGGTCTGCATATTCATATTCATCATAAAGATGCAGTTAAATAGTTTTTATAAGGTTCTTAATAAGAGCAATCAATAAATCATTGCTACAGTCTACATACTAAATACTATGCTAAACCCTGTCCCTTATAAACACATGTTTATTCCCCTTTTTTTTAAGAATAGTTAAGCCTGCAAGAATATTTATTAAGTAGGGGTGTTTTTTAACACATTTCACCGTGTATCTTCAGTATCATATGTATTTTCAGCTGTATCTTAATTTAATCGTTATAAGCTTTGATCTTCAAGTCCCTGTAAGCTTGTTTTTCTGTAGTTTGACCACAAGTGTGCAGTATAGAGTGAAATACAACATGATCTGAACAGAGACCGTTTGTTCATCATCTATCATTTGATCTGGAATAAAATGTACAAGATACACGATCTTGTTAAAGGCACTCAGATTATTATCAGACCGTTTAAAAGCAGGAATTCTTCAGTTCTTTAGATAGATGATATTTCGGAGATTGTGCTGCACACTTTACACAGAATATGCAGTAAGGAGCTGCTGCTGGGTGCGTTCAGCATTACAAGTCTAGAAGGACTTTGTTTAATGCTTTCAGTTTACTCAGACAGATCATCACTAAAATGATTTAAAAGAAGAAAATGTGGACAAAATAAAGATCATTAATCCCCCAAATGAGACAAAAACAACCTGAAATCTTTAACAAACAAGTTTTTACCTCTGTATTTGTTTATAGTTTCATTAGAGAGACAAGTCGGAGCCGAACATAGGTTTGAAACAAAAACTGTGACATTAATAAAATCATTTAATCTACGCAGCTGAATTCCTGCTAAACATGTCAGAATAGGCCTCATCCTCTGATGAACTGCTAACATTGAGTCTGATGGCTGTCGATCATGTTACAGACAGAAGCCGTCGTCGTAATAGCATATTTAGGATGTTCATCATAAGAGGTTTTATTGCTGTTGCTATAACTACAGTTATAAATTTTTTCCAATAAATGAATAAGGTTCATTGCCTGGGTCTACCTGCTGTGACCTTTAGCATAATAACCAAAAATCTAGCTATTCCAGTTAGGATGAACTTCCTTATAATGTTAGCAGAGCTTACTGCCTTCATAAAAAGCAGGTAGACATGTATTTATTTAAGGGTTTTTCTGGACAGCTCATATATATGTTCAGCATGTCACTAGTTAATATTATGCTCATCAGGTATGCAAGTAATTCCTGTGAGCACAGCAGCCTCATCCACTGTCTGCTGAAAGGAGGGTTCCCCTAAATGGATATAGCTTTTTCAGCCAGGATGAACTGAAAGCTCAGTATAAGATAAATAAATTGAACTCTGAGTCTTGTAAAAGTATGTCAGGAGAGTCATTAATAAAACATATGGATGTGAAAATTAGAATAATACATTAACAATAATAAATTCTAACCTTGGCAGAACTAATTGGCAAATATTGAGTTCCTGTCTTAGATGATCACATTCACGTACACCGATTCTTTTCTTTCTTCCAACAAAGGTGGTGATCAACTATTCCATAGTGAAGGGCCTGAAGTACAATCAGGCCACCCCGACCTTCCATCAGTGGCGTGATGCCCGGCAGGTCTACGGGCTGAACTTTGCCAGTAAGGAGGAGGCCACCACCTTCTCCAACGCCATGCTGTTCGCCCTCAACGTCCTCAGCTCACCTGACAGCGGAGGTGAGCATTTGTCAGTAATGGAATAAGCACATGTTCTTGATCACTGTTGCTCCTTTTTCTAGCTATTTAAGCATTCACTCAGTTACCTTTTTATCATTCAGATTTCTCATTAGAAACAGGCATTCTGCTTTTGCGTTTCGCTTCCTGGCAGGCTAAGGACATTTTCCGAATGCTTGATTCAAATTAAATCATTCCTCTCTCCGCAGTGAAACGGGAGATGAAAGCTTCTGAGCTGTTAGCTGTTGGTGTTGGAGAACTTTAATGTTTTAAGTGGAACTTCAGGAGGATTTTGGGTCGTACTTCAGGCAGCTGTCTTCAGTTGTTCATCCGTGATCAATTTACATCTATTTTTATCTGAAAAGAATGTCAGGTTACTGCAATGAAATGATCCAGGTTGTTTTCAGCTTGTTTTCATTACCTGGGTGTTCTTCAGTGTGGGTACTTGCTCATTCGGGGAAAGATTTTTAGTTTCAGGTTGGCCATTCTTGTATTTTGCTCGTTTGTGTTGTTGTGTTTGCACATCTCTGTTGCTTGTGGGGCTCGCACACAAGAATTTCACTCGCATGTGCTGTGCCAGTGTGCTTGCACATGTGATGTGACAATAAAAGTGATTTGATTTGATTTGATTTGATTTGATTTGATTTGATTTGATTTGAGATTTGCACAGACAGCATGAGCTGGTTTAAGATACAATACATGAATATAGCAAGAAAGTATGTATGGCTGATAATAAAGCCGTTACACCCTCAGAGGTCTAACTGCTATGCTAAGCTCTACTACACCCTGCTGGTTAAATGTATGTACTGCAGGTACAGGCTCAACGGTAAGCCAAACAGCAGGCACGAATTGAGTCCCTGGATTTATATTTTTTATTATATGTATTTGTGCACAGAACCATTCTAGAGATTTAAGGATTCAGATCCGGTTTCTGTTCTGACTCCAAAAAAATGTATTGCTTTGAGTGGTGCCAACCGTAACTTCAGGTTTCATGCAGATCCACCCTTGACCTTTCAAGAGACAAACGAAAATACATAGAAAAGAAAACAAAAAAAATTGATCGCATGATCTCCTCAGCAGAAGTAAAAATAACAACATGAAAGGGCTGTTGGTGGCTGCCTGAAATTTGAGATTTTTCAATGTTTTTTTTCAGAAAATGACAAAAAAGAGATCAGGATATTTTAGTTCTTTGTACAGCTAACTGAATAAATTCAGTTCAGGCCTAAATTCAGTTTAGGCCTGAACTGAATTTGACACTAACCTCACACTTATCTCTGGTTTACTAAATAGCTCCTGAGTATCTCTGGTTACAAGCTACTTATAAGCTCTGTGTGTGTGTGTGAGCGTCTGTGCATAGATACTGTGGAGATACTGAGAGAGAATATCTGTGAGTGTTTAACTGCGGTGTCATCCCATCCCACCCTTGTGACCCACCCCCCATTGGTGGCTAAAATATCTCATAGGGAGCCTGAATGTCGTACCCCGTCATGCTCATGTGGCAGCTCTCCTTTTTTTGGGTGCATTTCGATGTGGGATCATGGGCCTCAACATGCAAGGCATTTCTGCTCCTGGGACACATATCTGTTCCTACTCGACAACGCTGTTTGTGCTAAGCTTCCACGCTGACACTCTAGTGTCACACAGTACTGATCGCTGGTAGGCTGTGGAAAGCTTCCCACCATGATCACTCCAGAGGTTTCACCTGGAGTCCTCAGGCAGGTTTCTTCAGCCATCATCATCCTCAGTAAGTGCCATACATGCATGACTGATTAAATCATCCAGCAGTTATGGATGTCTTTGATCGTCTGAGACTGTTGGAAACATGGAGGGAAGTTAAATATTCACCATTTCCTTTGATAGGAATCGTTTGGTTATGAAGGTAATTGTGCATTGTGTTCCCTTCAGTGGTGAAATATGTGCACTTTGGTCTAATATTGAGCAACTTCAGCTTTGTTTCAGTGTTTCTGTTTTTACATCCTTGTACTTCTTCTACATTACATTCCATGTTAAACATCCAACACATTCAGTTCAGTTCATTTTCAGATCTTTCTTTGTCTGCCATTTGTTAGATTCCCCACTCTGCTCTTCTCTAAATACCTCCTGAGACTCACAGGTGTGTCCAGTATTTTACATGAAAGGAAATTTCAAAATACAGATTTCCAGCTAATCATTGTCAGAACCCTAGATTTGTCTTTCTTTCCCTTTGAAGGTCTGCTGTGAACCTGCACTAAGTTACCACACTCAAGAAAAAGTTGCTACACATTGACCAGGTACACCAATAAAATGCTACATTTACTTGAGTGGTGTTTTTATTGCAGGGCTTTTAGTTGATCTATCAGCACTTTGTCTTTTAAGCAAACAAAAAGAATTATGGGTACACTCAGTTAAACTGCAGGGATTTCAATCTGCTCAGTTAGGAAGGAAAAAAAACATTGTGAATCCTTTTGGCCTGCTCTGGTGCAAATGAAAGGAACAACGAAATAGTGGTTTAGCCACAGACCAATGCTCTCTCTTTATCCTGCCTCACTGATTTTTCTCTAGTCTTGCTTTTTGTTTGTGACCTTGTCACTGCTGGTAGCATCAGACCTCTCAACCCATTTAGGTGGCAGGGGCTTCCTACCAGCCCTCTGCCCCCAGGATGGCTGCTAGGAAGGCTTGCTGTGTCTCCCAGCACAGTCTCGAGATTGTGAAGTAGATCCCATTATATGAGGAGAGCTGGGCAGGGCTGTAGAGTGGACAGCACCGGGTTATGAGCACATTTCCCACTAAAGATGTGGGGGCCTTGTGTCACCCTCATGGAGTCCAATTAGAGCAGTTTGGTGAGAAATCGGCACATAGCCCGATGGAGGTCATTTATTAGGGTTCTGGCAGTGATCCTCCTCTCACAAAGAAGCAGATACAGGTCCTGCTGCTGCGTTGATACCCTTCTCTGGCCTTGTCCAGCTCGCCTTGTGTAACAGACACACTTGAGACTAACCTAGGAGACACAGCAGACCTTCCTGTGACAGCATCCTGAAGCAGGTGAATTATCGGTGCCACATGAATGGGCTGCAGGTACTGTCACGAGGAGTAAAGAGAGAGCAATGGTCTGTGGCTACCACCTGTAAAACATTTCCCTTTTTCGGGGTCTTCTTGTTGCTTTCTCTTCAGTGCACCTGCTGTCGATTTCATTTGCACCAAAAGCAGGTGAATGAATTCACAATGGTTAGTGTTTGCTAACCAAGCATACTGCTTTGACTGACCTTCTGTCATATTGTGATAATCAAGTGTTCTCTTTTTTACTGAGCAATGCATTTAAGGAGCTATTTTACATCACTGGTTGTAGTGATGGTTGTAGCTTACCGGCCAGACGGCTGACGATCTGTCCAGACACTCACAGTCTGTGATTACAAGCAGTAAAAGTATCATACATTTGCACTGTCAGCCATAATGAGGCTATGAAGTCTACCTGAGTTGTTGCACACATCGGGAAAGGAGAAGCAGAATCTCATTACACTCTGTGATGAATTCATGGTAGTTTCTACTTGAGTAAATGAGGCAGGTTATCTAAACTGACAGCTTAGTGGAAAGTACAAATCAGAATCATATTTACATAATACTTAAAGTAATTTATTTGTGATGGTGATAGAAAGCATTGTGTATCCATCTGTCTGTTTTTGTCACCTCGTGCCTACGTCTAGTAGGTGTGTGTGCTGTGTGTGTAGTGTGTGTGTGTTGGTGTGTGGTGTGTGTGTGTGTGTGGTGTGTGTGTGTGTGTGGTGTGTGTGTGTGTGTGTGTGTGTGTGTGTGTGTGTGTGTGTGGGTGTGAATGGAAGGGAGGGGGAGGAAGAGCTGCTTCTTTGTTTTTATCATCACATCTAATGTACACACAGTCAGTGGGCTCCTTAGCTCCAGTAAAATGTCTACAAGCATGATCAGGTCCCATCCATGTTCTTCCTTTGCCCTCACCATGACAACAGGAAGAAGCATATACGATGCTTCGCGTCAACAGCAGAAATACAAACAAACCCACATTTATACATATTCATGGACACACAAACAGCACAGCGCAGGCTGACGAGTGTCTCGTTAACATCTGCGACGTTACTATTTGTTGAAGGGTTGTGAAGTCTTGATATTGTGCTAACTGGCTCGTGTTTCACGATTGAGTCCCTGAAGTATCACTTTAAAAGTAATACATGCTGTAGATGTTAGCATGTGCATGAAGGAAAGTTAATAATTACCACGAGATAACGAGCTGAATTTATGGGAGCGTCAAAGACACATTCAAGTCTTCTGTCGCTTCTGTCTTCTGTGCGTATGGTTAAAGCTAAAGAGCCGTTAAAAGAATCGAAAACCAAACCGTTTTCAATTTGTCAGCATGAATTGTAGCTTGTGGTAACTGACAAGTGAGCCCTAGATTTAAATTTCTTTCTCGGCATTGCGCCCGAGTATTCTCACTGTACCGGTTCGACAGGTACACCTGTTCAGCTGCTCGTTAAAGCAGAAATTTAGTCAGCATTATGTCATGCAGGAGAAGGATGTTGAAAAGAGAAAATATTGAGTGAGCAGCAGTGTTGTTGCCAGAGGTCAGAGGAAAATGGCTAGACTGCTTTGACCTATTAAGAAGGCGACAGTAACTCAAATAACCACTTGTTACAACCAAAGTATGCAGAAGATTCTGAATGCACAACACCTCGAAGCAGGCAGGCTACAGCAGCCCACTCCCATCAGCTAAGAGCAGAAAAGTGAGGCTACAATTTGTACGTGTTTTCCACTGCACAACAGAAGGAAAACTGTCGTCTGGTCTGATGAGTCTTGATATCTGTTGGAGGATTCGGATGGTGTGGTCAGAATTTGAGTAAACAACATGAAAACATGGCTCCATCCTGCCTCGTAATAATGGTTCAGGCTGCTGCTGCTGATGTAACGGCGTGGGGGAAATGATCCAGACTGAGCGTCTCAAGCTGCGACTGTGCCCAGTGTTGACCGCCCCCATCACCCCGCCTGCTGCCCCACATCCTCCAGACGCAGCGAACGGAAATATCACCCGTCGGTGATCTTGATGTCACGGTGGGCGTTGAAGTTTAATGACTGGTATTCTGGTGATATGTGATAAGCGCTCCCCCCGTTAATAGCTGCTCCAGAATGAGGTGCTGACTCCTTCGCTCTGTCTGTAGTTGGTCAACAAGCAAAAGTGCTAAACTGAGATGATCATGTGGCTGATGTTGATTATCCAAAACCAGCTACTAACAAGAGAGATTAGATGTATTTTACTAAATGAATTTTGCTGTTTTGCACCATATGCAGTATTTTTTAGATTTTTCTGTCGGGTTTCTGTTTGTTCCACTTGTTTCAGTTCTTTTCTCTCGTGTTTAACAGTTGAAATTTCTGTGGCTGGCAACTTGTTCAGCAATTATAAACAGCTTGCAGGCCTCCAGGGCAGTGCCTCACATGATGCTGTTGCTATCTGTTTATTCAGCTTCTCTCCCTGAGCACACTACTTAACTGTTTTCTGTCATTTGAGTCCTTTTTTATGTGGTTTGTCTCGATATGAAAAAAACTCCCTGTTGAACTGAGAAATGTTGAACATTTTTGAAGCTGTCTTTGCTTTTTTTTCTGTCGGTGCGGTCACAAACGAGTGTTTGGTATGTGGTGCTATAAGGGGTGATATTCAGCACAAAGGGGAAACTGTTGGAGATGAATAAAACAGTAATAAGGGCTTACGCGTACACGCATAGAAGCTGATTATTTCTGTGGTTTAATTGCTTTTTTTCCCTCTTATTTTGTGTCTTTCAGGCCCAGTCGTGCAGCGCCAAAATGGGCCCTCCTCGGACGAAAACGAAGCACAGAGGAGGTATACTTTTACAATGAGAGCACGAGCAGAAATAGCGTAAAACATGTAAAGCTAGTGCAGGTGGAAGACTTTACAAAACAGTAAGCTAGTCTGTAGATCCAAACTCGCTAGTTAATGTTAAATGTGTAAGTATTAAATGGGACCTATTATGCTTTTTCTCATTTTCTGTCATATTTTTATACTGTTACAGTGGTGCATGCTCATTTTTGAGCCAATGAAAATAGTCCAGTCAGCATGCACGGGTAATCCCTTTGGGCCTGCGAGGCTTTAGAGCCCTGTAGACACTCTTTGATCTGAATGATGTCACTAACAGCAAACATGTCAGGCATTGGCTGTAAATACAGAAGCGATCCATCGTATTTTACAACCTCCTGTTTGCGAGGGTTAACCAATCAGGAGAAAGTTGGTTTCAAGGATGAGGGATGGGAGCTAAAGCTAGGTTAGGGTGCCTTCTGGGCACCTGCTGGGCGAGGTGTTCTGGCCATGTCCTAACAAGAAGAAGGACCCGGGGTAGACTCAGGACTCAGGTGATTATGTTTCTTGGCTGGCCTGGGAACGCCTCTGTGTTGCCAAGGATACGCTGGTGGCACTGGCTGGGCTAGACGGAGGTCTGGGCTCTTCTATTTAGGCTGCTGCCCCGCATCCTGGCCACAGATAAGATGTAGAAAATGGATAGGGGTTGATAAACGCCTAGTCTAGGACAAACAATGGATCATTTTGAATCATGACGAGTTTCTATAGCAGAGTGTAAGGATATAAATGGAGGTAGCTTCCAGTTCAAGAAAATAAAATCAATGTGGAAGTGTCTTAAACCTGCATTCTAACTGAAGGCCACCAGATGGCGATAGCTGTGGTTGCAAGAAGATTTGCGCTCCACTATAAGTCTATGGGAGAATAGTTTTCTGACTTGACCTCAGTAAACACTTTCCTGTTGAGTTTATGGGCTTAGTCACTCATTGTGGGTCATATTGAATAAAAACTGAAATTTGTTTTCTAAATCTTTGTCATGATAGGTTTCAAAACGGAGGATTATCTTATTAACAACTGGTTAGCTAATGAGCCAACTGTTTACAATGAGACCTTTAGAAATGATTGGATGATGTCACGGTAGATGCGTCTGCTTGTTATACCATCTGTGATTTTAAATTAGCATAACAGGTCCCCTTTAAAACGATTAGTAGTGTTTTTAACAGAGACACAGTCAAAGCTACACATTAGGCTGATTTATCGCCACAAACTGCAGCTTTAAAGAGTCGTGAAAACCTTGCACTTGATAGGATGATGGAGCAACATCAGATGCACAAGGAGAGGGAGCGACGGACGTCAGGATCAGGTGAGGTTTAGACAAACACACCCACACCCTCATATATAAACATGCACTCTTTCTGACACTCGCGCTCACACTCACACACTAACAGGAAGCTCTAGAGACCAAAATGAATGGAAGGGTTTGTATTCACCTAGCTACACAAACATTTTAGACAAAAAAAAAGTCTACTCTGGCTGTCAGTAAACAAACTGTTTGCCCCGCTTTTTGCGTTTTTGGTTTTTTGTTTTTTTCCATTACATGATGGACGTTATCGCCATTTAGTCAGGCAAAGCACACTTTACTTTCCCAGAGCAAACAAGTGATTTCATCATTAATACATAGCAGAGATTCCATGCTAGCAGGTCCTAGAGGTAAATAGGCTTCCCCAGTGTGGTTTGTGTTAGTGTTTCCCCCCTTAGTTTCAACCACGACTCCCCAGTCTGTATGCCCTTATGCTTTTTTGAACCCATGCACACATATAAATGTTCAAGTCTGCCTGTTAAATACCCATACAGACTTAAACATCCTCCTTTTGTCCCTGCCGCCACCGGCAATATCAGTGCTCCCCTGCCCCTGCAACATGCTCTACTGCCATCTCTTTCTTCCAGCTACTGTTGGGGGGGGGAAATGCCATATGCTTTCCGATCATGGCTCAGTCATGTTGCATTCTGCTGCTTGTTCTTTTTACAATATTTTGATTCTTTCTTATTTGCTATTGGCTTCTGTTTTTTGGACTGCTCCTGATTTTCTCATCATTACTTGCTTGGTTGCTCAGTTGGTTGCTTTTCATTCTTCTCACGTTTATCTCTTTTCTGTTTTCCTTTGTTTGTTGCCCTCCTTCGTCTGCATCTCCTCCTCTTCCTCCTCCTCCTCTCTCTCTCCTCTCTCTGTCTTTCTCTCTCTGCCCGTCACAGTCGTTTCCACTCTCCAATATAAAGTGTCCACCCCTCCCATCCACCCAGACACTCCTCCCGAGTACAGACATTACAGAGCTAGCACACTGCCACCCTCCTACGTCCGCGTGGCATCCTCCTCTCCTCCCACCTCCGCCTCCATGTCTCCCTCTCAGGAGAAGGAGGCGGGAGCCGCTAGGGACAAGGCCCAGCTCTCCTCCCAGCTCTCCACCTCACTCGCATCAGCCTTTTCCCCAGTCCAGGCAGGAGTGACCACCCAGGGCCGACAGGTCCGTCAGATCCCCCTATCTCCACCCACCGCAGCCCGCCACCTTCACCTTCAACAGCAACAACAGCAACAAGACACCATGCTGCCCCCTAAACACGGCACCTGGTCTGCTTCACACTTGCAGCAAATGTACGCCCAGTTTCCCCAGTCCTCGTCCCCCCCAGTAATGATGGCCATGCCGGTGAAGCAGGGTTTGCCCCCGCAGCCGGTCCTCCCGGTGGCTCACCCCCTCCCACCTGTAAGCACTAGGATGAAGCCCCCACCTTTCGATCCCAATACCGTTACAACCCCTCACCAATACCCTCAGCACCACCCACACCCTCACTCCAACGGCCAGCCAGACGATTCCTACTCCCCTCATTCTCAGCACCTGCCACTCACACCACAGTACTGCGAGGCCATCCCACTGCCCCCTCTCACAAGTCAGACACCCCCAGGCCCTCCCCCCAGCCACCAGCCCCAGTACCCATCCACTTTCCACCCACAGCAGCAGCAACAACAACAGCATCAGCAGCAGCAGGTGTACCACCAGCAGGCCCAGCCCCCTACCACCACCACCACCTCTTCCTCCTCCTCCTCGCCCCCCTCTTACACTGCCATGTCTGACGGGGGCTCGCCCAAGAAGACCCCCTCCCCTGTCCCCCAGCCAACCCCCATGACCAGCAGCAGTAAGTATGAGGAGGAGAGCGGAGGAGGTAGTCCCTCAGCAGAGGGACATGTTTACATAGTGTGTGTAAATAGTGTGTGTGTATGTGTGTGTGTAGAATAGGTTGTTAAATGCACCACACCTGCACTGTTAGACAAGAACATGAAAAATATATGTGTGGTATCAGCAGTTAAAGCCCAAACACACCCAGAAGTCCACCCACAGTTTTCTCACAGGGTGTCATCAGACTACTTCTCAGGATTGCTAGGGTGTGAACGTAGTCTGCTTAATCTGTGTAAAGCTGCCCCACTTACAGGGCGAGACGTGCAGTACTGTCCAGTCGTTTTAGGCACTAAAAGTAAAGAGAAGATATTTTAATATGACACGGATTCATCCTATTAGAAAACAAAACAAAACGTCACCTTCTGCCTTTAAAATAACCAAGTTCTCCTTTCGCACTCTCACACATTTTCACTGTGCTTGGCAGGAATGTTTTCAAATCTTGCATAACTCTCCGCACTCCTTCTGCCATTATAAGCTCTCTCGGTTGCTTCAGCCTCTTTATTCCCGACTGACAGCGATCCGCTCCACAGTACGTTTAGGATTGATGTCATTCTAACCGAACAAATTCCCTGTTGGTATCTTATGATTGATATAAGTCTAAACTGCCTAAAACCTTTGCACAGTGCTGCTCACAATGAGTCATGTGTTATTAGTGCTATTGGTTTTATGACAGTGTAATTCCCAGGAGAACTTCAACCAACTTCTGTCTCACCAGGTATATAATCAACCAGAAATGTAATATACTTGTGTAGGTGTGCAGAGCCTTTAAGACAAACATTTACGCGCCTCTTTTTATAAATATATATATTTCTGTCAATGTAGCTCAATGCAGCAGAACAATAGGCCTTTGCTGCTGACAATTTCTTCAAGATTCCCAGCAAATCATGCTTCACACAGTTACAGCGCACAACCCTAAAATTGAGGAAACACAGGAATTCAGGATTGTATTGACAAGTCAGTGGACCTGAAGTCGTTCCTGCTGTGCAGGTTTTTCACTTTGCCTGACTTGACTATCTGCCGTTATCAAACAAAATACATTTGAAGCTACTGTCAGATCTTTGGTTTTATTCCTGGTCCTGGAATTATTCAAAGCCTGTAGGAAAATTTAAAGCATACCTCTATCATCAGCTGGCTTTCACATAACCTTCCCACAAAATAAATATATATATATATATATATATATATATATATATTATATATATATATATATATATATATATATATATATATATATATATATATATATATATATATATTTATCACATCACGCATCAGGATTTAATCTCACTCCTCCCAAGTGTTCTCATCTCTGCATGTAACCCATCTCTGCTTTCTATTGCACCTCCTTCAGCCGCAGCTCCAGCACCTAGGGCTGGTCCTCCAGCCCCACCACCACCACCTGGTCCACCACCCCCAATGGCCGTGCCGCCACCCATGCCCCCTCCATTACCCGCTGGTGGAGGGCCTCCTGGTGGCCCACCTGGGGTCCAACACCAACCCTCAGGACTGGCTGCGGCACTGGCTGGAGCCAAGCTACGTAAAGTGAATAGGGTGAGCCTCCCTGCTTTAGTCTGAGGAGGTTCAGACTAAAGCAAGGGAATGTTATTAGCATATTTTAGGCAGAAAGGTTCCACCTACCCCCACGGGAGAAAAAAAGGAAACCTGTTTTGTAATGTGTCTTTGTTTAGGATGAGAGCAGCCCTCCTGGTTCTAGTGGCAAAAGTGACTCCAACCGGTCTAGCGGTGGCAGTGGCGGCGGAGGGGAGGGACTGATGCAGGAGATGAATGCCTTACTAGCACGCAGGTCAAACAACTTTCTAAACACACACAAACGTTTTACCCCTTCACCTGTCAGATCATGCAGTGACACAGAAACCTGTTCCGTTAGCCTTTTTGTTTTCCTTACAGTAAATATCTATCGAAAAAAATGTTTCTGGGTTCGTATCATATCCGTGTCACAATCTATTCATACTAGTTTCTGAATTCTCACTGAAAGCTCACTCTTTTTACACAGTTTCCTCATTCCCTTTTCTCTTTTAGACGAAAAGCTTCTGAGAAACCTGATGAGGTAAGTTTTGTGCTTAAAGATATAGCTCAACATTTTTGGGAATTTCCCTTATTTTCTTTATCATCGAGAGCTGGTAGAAAAAATACCAGTTTCAATTCATTCTTTTAAATGTGAGACTCAAGCCTAGAGAGATATCCAACATTTGAAAAACAGATGATAACAGCTAAACTAACAAGTTATTGACAGATCTTGTGTTTAGCATAGAGATTACAGACCTGATATAAAACATGGACCTCGCCACAGTTACCTGGGCTTATATTTTTAGCACTGTAATTGTTGTTGCTTATTTTTTTTTGGAGCCAGAAGTTATCATTTTTGGATCAACGATTGGAGTCAAACTGGGAAATTGCATGCATAAAGTTTATCTGTGCATCACATGGCCATGGATGGCTTCTCAGTGCTTGGAGCCAAGTAGCATATAAATAGAATAGCAAAGATTCACTCACCAAAACTTCAACACTGTCTTATCTGATGATTAGATCATTTACACTAAAAAGCCCCAACACTCGTCACTTGTCAGTCAGCACATTCATGCCCTTAGTAACGCATGACTTAAAGGCGCAATCCAGTTCAGCTGATGAGTTATGAAAGAAACTCATCCCCCACACACTAAAGGGATAAATAAGCTGTGGAGAACAGGGTGTAAACACGACTTCTAAAGGTCTAAATCTGAGCATTTTAACATGGGACTGACTCAGTGTTAGCACTGGTCTCAAGCGACCAGTCCAGGAATTGTAGTTTTTGTGTCATGAACTAGCTGTGTGGAGGCAGATGAGGACCCAAACGCAAAACTCACAGAGACAGGAACTGAACTCAAAATCACTGCTTTATTGCAGGCCTTACAACGAAACAGAACTAAACTGGGAATACTAACAGAAGACCGAGGGAACACAGAAAGACACACAGGTTCAGGGAGGAGACATTGACGACGCAACCCTGAACTGAGGGAGACGTGCACATAAACACACAGAGGGTTAACGAGGGAAGTGGGAGCACACGGGGAACACCGCTGACACAGATAATCGTAACGGGACAGGGCAGGAGTGAACACAACATGACGCATACTGATGAGAGACTGTCAAAGTAAAACAGGAAGTACACAGAGGTTCAGACAGGAGGAGAGAGAGCACAGACATAACGGGCTGGGGAAAACATTGAATGAAACACAAGGAGGGGAAACGAGGGCTCACAGATACACAGAGGGGCACACAGGGGGTAATCAAATAAGGAACATCTTTAACAGAACCTAGGAACCACGGCATAAGGAACAAAATACAAAAATACAAGAAAACTAAGAATGCTGGGCCAACATGGCCCAGGACCATGACATTTTGGCATTTTGCTATTTTTCCATTTGTTGCTGGCATGATTGGTATCAGTGTTTAAATAAAGCTCTAGAAGCTTGACTAGGATATTTTCCAAAATGTGCATTGTTTTAAGGATGTTTTTTAAATATTTCAGAGATGTATGAAATTACTTACGGTTATTAACAATACTCAATGTCTGATAATCAATATCTGTCTCTCCTTGAAGGATGACTCAGGTGGTCGGGGATCAGGTCAGCAGAACTCAACAGGTATTAACACTGATGCTTTATCGGCTTTATCTGCACATATTTCAGTATATTTTAGTCCGTGGCGTAGCCCCGTTATCTGATTGTAAGTATTTTACTCTGCAAGATGCTGTGAAGAAGCCATGGGAGCGATCCAACTCTGCAGAAAAGTCCTCACTGGTGTCCAGGTCTGTAGATAAGAGGAGGAGCAGGAGGAGCAATGTTCTGAATATGAAATGGATATCAAACCTCTAGCATTACCCACAGGGATTTAGGCATAAATTTGTTTCACTGGAGCAACAGTGAAGTGTTGAAAATTCACTTTTATCAATGCAAATGATAAAAATATGTAGCCTGTTCTACTTCACTGTCCACTGTGTTTTTAGTCACTTCACCCATTTGCCTTTCAGAGTGAGGCCCATCGGCAGCACTAGTGAAGCAGACACAGAGTTTGACAGGATGAAACAGGTTGGTTTAACGTCCCATGTAGCATAAAGCGCATTATGGGTTCACCCTGCGAAACTGAAATGAGACTCACGAGCTTGTTTACTGCCCCGCAGGAGATTTTGGACGAAGTCGTGCGCGAGTTGCATAAAGTGAAAGACGAGATCATTAACGGTAAGCAGCAGCCGTCCTTGTAAAGTTAAACAGCAGTGTAGCCTTTTTTTTTCTTAAATTGTTTTTTTTATTTTCTCTCAGCCATCAGACAAGAAATTGGCAGAATCAGTACATCCTAATCTCATCCGAGCGTACAGATGGAAGAGGAGGAGCAGGAGGAGGAGAGCGACGGAGGAGCTGGAGGAGGACGGACACGCAGATGCACAGACGCGAGGACCAGGGAATGTTCTCTCAATGTTTCTGTGACCTCATAGACGCCATCGTTCGAGTTGCAGAGACGTTGTGGCAACATTTAAGTCTGCTGGACAGCAACAATAAAAAGAAGAAACGGAGATAAGAGAGCGCGGATTAACGAGAGGGACGAGCAGAAGAAATGTGGGGATGGATTAAAGGAAGACTGACGTACAGGTTGAACACAAACAGAGGTTGACAGATGGACTAAAAGAAGAAGTGAGGAAAAGAAGGACGTTCGTGCTGAGTTTTGGTGTTGTGGTCCTCTCTGTGCACCTAGACTCAGTCAGCCCAGTGTTGCAACTCTTTGTTTGCCGTTCAGTCCAAGTCTTAAGAAGAAAATATTTTTGTTTTCTAAGTTTTTACTGTTTTATTATTTAAAAAAATGTGGTGATAATGATGATGATGCTGTTGATGACAATGAGTATTTTATTGATATTCTAGAGGGAGAAAGGAATCTTGCACACCCTACGTCAGCCTTTTATATTTTCTATTGTTTTTGTTTAGTTTATCCCTAACTCGTTGACGATAACAAGCACAATATGGGCACAGTGGCTCCGCATACCCACCTGCCCTCAACTGGCATATTTAAAAAAAAAAGAAAGAAAAAAAAGACTTTTTACGACCTTGCTCATACTGGCGTTGTGTATCTAACCTTTAAGAAAAAAATAGCTTAAACCACTTGAATTACCTTAATTTCCACCATATTTAAAGGCATAACAATTTTTTTTGTTTTTAGCAATGAATCAGACAACACACAAAAAGTCTGCTCTGCAACTCCAGTGTGACCGAGGTTTCTCTGTAACTGTTCGGACGTGCGAGATCACTGAAACTCGGGGATCATTCACAAAAAACAGGCCGATAACTTTAAATGTGCCACCTGGTTTTACCTAGGTATAAAAAAAAAAAATGTAGTATTATATATATTAGTCACCCTATGCTTTGTGAACCCCACCCCCCACCAAGTATGCATGAATACCCCATCTCTATGAATAAGTTTATTTGGTTTGGGGACAAAAAAAAAAAAAAGACACACACATGCAAAAATCTATATAAACGGTGGTACATTTACTATAGTGGTTTGTTTCTATGAACGTTCCCTTTCTACAAGATGTTAACCTTGATGATGGTAGCAATGTGGGGAGAAAAAAAAGTGAAGAGGATCGGTTGCTCTGGCAATATGCAAACCTAGCTAAGTGCAAGAGATGAAAAGTAGGCCTTTGTGATGGTAGCTAAATGTGTATTTGCAGGAAGGCTTTGGATGAATATCAGTTGTTGCATTCTGTTCACTCTGTCCGCTCTCAACTACGTTCTCATTTAAAAAGCTGGAAGTAAATTCATTCATTCAAAAAAAAAAAAAAAATTGTCAGCTACACAGTATCCTGCTCAGTGTGTGTGTGTGTGTGTGTGTGTGTGTGTGTGTGTGTGTGTGTGTGTGTGTGTGTGTGTGTGACTATCTTCGAGTTTGTCTTAAGCTTGAAGGCATATTTTTCTTCGGATACCACAGTGACAAAAGCATTAACACACTCAGGAATGCAGAGTTTCTCCTTATAAAGACTTTTTATGTAGTGCATTTTTTTAAATAGAACTTTTATAAACAAGATAATGCTTAAGACTGAATATACATTAGGTTGAACAGTCAGTGGGTGGACAAAACAACACAAACCCTGCATAAAAACAGTAGCCATGCTTGTAATTTACAGTTTGTGGTGGCTTGTGATTCTTGTAGATGCTTTTTTTTTTTTACCCCTGTCTGTCATTTCACACGCTGGTATTTTATTCTAAGGATAAGCGGACGCGAATGGATGGATGGATGGTATTTTATTCTTTATACCAGTTAGTGTGTCACTAGAAAATAATTTAAAATGGCAAACACTAAATCCAAAAACAGAAAAACTGTATGATCAAAGAGTGGTCATAAGAGGCTCCTTAGCAACACCGATGTAAATGAATACTTCATGAACATGTGTTCAACCTGAAGAAACACCAGTATGGTCATTTAACAAGCCTAACACTCTGAGACACAATCCTTGTACGGCGATGCAGCTGCAACCAAGCAGAACGAGGCATCACAGAAGAAAAGGCTCCTCTTACTGGAAGGTAAGTTTCAATGCTTATTTTCCACTTCAGCATTGTTCTGCATGACGGATGTGCAGCTGCTAATCTAAGCGATTGTGCTTCTGCAGAAACTCTCACGAGGCTTGACGAACGCTTACAATCAGGAAAACTAAACGGCATGGGGTAGTGACATCTCCGTAAAACCACATGAGAATGTATGTGACCTTTATCCCGAAGTTATGGCTTTATGTCGCCTTCAGTCACAGATAAGAAAAAATTTACCTTCTTTTTTTCCGCAATTCTTCTTTGTGCTTTCTGGGTACAAGTAGATTTCCACATTGCACAATGACACTGGCTGTCTTTTTATAGCAGGAATAAATAACATCCAGTCATATGAGGTGAAATCTCATTTGTGTAAAATATGCAGCTGAAATGTGCACATTGCCTTATAGTAACACGAGTGCAGCACTGATTAGATAACAATGTCAAACATGTTATTGGGCTTACGTATGGTAACATCCACACTATGCAACAAAACTAGAGAGCATGGCAACTTTTTGTTGTGGTTAGCCGACGTCTGACAACTACAATTCACATTCTTGCTTAGCAGATCAATCAATCAATCGGAGATCTATTCCTGTTTGCTCAGCTTGTACTCCCGTTTGATTCTGGAATAGGGCCCGATGCTGTCGTCAAACACAAAGTCCCACAATACACGGCTCCAGGAAGTGTGTTGAGGCAGGGAGTCGTAATACTCGGCTGCGATTTCCTTGACCTGCCAGTTAAAAAACAAACAAACCAGAAGTTAAAAATGAAAGAGAAGAAATATCAGTGAGAAAGGAGGTGGTGTAGAAAGAGTAAATATTGCAAATGGTGAGTGTAAAGCCTGCATCTGAAGTGCAGAGTTAATGTGTTTAGGATTTGAGGGCTTTTATTTATTCGACCTAATTCGACATGACTGTATTTGACTAGAACAAGTGCAAACAGAACAGCATATTGTATGATATTACACAAAACAGTACGTCGGGGTGAATGCAGCTCGACATATCCTGACTGAAATGTTTTACTAGACAATGAAAAAGGGGCCGTGAACGGGGGTTAAAATGTAACTAAACAAAATGGATTTTTAAGAGTTCTTTAAACTCGTGGTCAACAAACCTAAAGGCAGTTAACTTGTATTAAGTGCCAACACTGTCCTGATAGAGGCGGCAGTTAATCATTTAAAAAACCTGCCCATTAAGCTCATAAATACTTGCAGTTAATGGGAAAAAGAAATTAGATTTTTGGCATTTCCCAGTGTCTGTTGTATTTAGGTTCTAAAAGTCAGGAGAGGCCCATATCATCTGTCCACAGTATTCAGTGATATAACTGTGCTCATTTTTCTACGCTCAGTACATTCAAGTCCAAAGTTATAAGTTATACTGTTATAAATCTATTTCTAACAGTAATATGTTCTCACCTGAGGTAGTTTACTGCCGGGTATGCTGGGAAAGTCGTGGTGCTCCATGTGATACCCAACATTGAAGGTAATCAAGTTCAACGCTCCATAGTAGGAATATGTCTCATGTCCTTTAAGGAACATGTAGTGCTCAGCTATGAAATGTCCAGAGATCGGATGCAGTCCCATACCCAAGATAGATCCTGCAATGAGGTAAATGATGGGCTTCACCCCCCATAAATAGTAGATAATTAGGTCTACTACAAGCTGAACCATTGCATTCTGGATCTCAAGCCGACCCACTGGCTTTGGGTTGACCACTAATGGGCGCAGGGCGTAGAATAATGGCTGGAGGAAGAGCCAGAGGATCTTCCTGGCTGGGGTGCAGAAGAACCATCCCTCAAAGTCTGTAGGTATGTCAACATCAAGCTGGTCCCCTCCAAGATACCGGTGGTGGTCGATGTGGTACTTTTTGAAGGCGGCAGAGTAGGGCAGCCCGATGGGTAGGTTGGCCCACATGGCGAACCAGCGGTTCCACTTCGCCAGCTTGTTACCAAAAGCCACGTTGTGGGAGATGTCGTGGATAGCCAGAGTCAGGGAGTGATTAATACAGCCTCCAAATGCATAGGCCCAGAAGAAGATCCATTTCCAGGAGAGGTCCTGGACCAGGAAGCAGGCCAGGAATTGGGTTAGGACCATGCCCGATACCACCCACTTCAACTGGGGGTCTGGACCCATCAGAGACTTGATCTGTGGATATTTGGCTGAGGGGAGAAGCAAGAAAAAAAGAGGGATGGAAAAGAGCAAAGGCAGGAGTAATGCGATTGTTGAAAAAGAAAGAAAGAATAGCAGGAGTGGCAGAGGACATGTGAGGAAAGGGAATAATAGATTAAAGGAAGCAGTGAAGAAAATGAGGATAAAAGAAATGAATTTATTATTTTTTCTGAAACAGTGACTTGCACAGCATATGTTTCACAGTAATTTTCCTAAGGTTGCTCTCAGCAAACAAGCTGTGAGGTAGCTGCCCTTCTCTTGGGAAAACCATGCTGAGAAAAGTCAGCTTTAATTGGCAGAGGTGTTGTTTTGCTGCGGGAAATGAAACTCAGGGAGAAACAAAAGAGCATTTGAAAAATCATTCTTTTTTTAAAAAAAAAAAAAAAGACTTTTACAATTAAAATAATAATAATAATTAGGTCATACAGGTTCTGATTTGTTGCACTGGCCCCACCTTATGGGAACAGCAAAGAAATTTGGGCAGGTAAGTGAAAAAGCTTTGTGCCAACTGATTCGGCTACTAAGACTTTACAATCACACCATACAGAGCATATCCTATCATGCATTACATCAAAGTTAGCCACACACCATCGCGGGATGTTGCATGCAAATCTGACCTACTTCCTTAGTTTCAGGTTGTGTAATGTCTCTATGCAAAACTTTCTTACCTTGGTGACTAATAGATTAAAGATACTGGGGCTGGGTCCCCGTGACCGTTTCATATTTTGATAGTCTCCTCTACGGACCAAATCCCCTTTATTCTATGAATGTTTACCCAACAAGAATTCCCTGTTGCTTCCCTGCAGTCTCCCATTGTGAAACAATCATTCATCAACATACAAGCATTACATCACCATTAGTATTGCTTTCAAATCTGTGGCTCAATGTGAGCTCACCTCCAGAGCGTCCTTCCCTTTTTCCTAATTAAAGCCGTTTATGGACCATAAATTTTCAGATGCTGTCACAGCCTGCCTCCAGGGTATGAAGTTAAATCAATGACCAGGCATCATAAAACTCCAGTAATAACTTCTTAATGTGCCCATGCAGAACACATGTTGTAAAGCCATTAGAGAATTTTGACTTCATCGTGTCAAACAAGAAAGGCCTTTCATTTGCCTTACTGTTAGATCATTTTCCAGCATAGAGTATCAGCCAAAATTAATTCACACATTATTCTGTTCAACATGTGGTGGTTGATCACATGTGTGGTCTCATAAGCATCTGTAATGGCAGGTACTGAAAAAAAGCCATTTAATTTATTAAACTGTTCAAAAGGTGCCCCTTCCATCAAATGGTAAAGCAAAAGGATCTGAAGCACAATTACCTCTAACACATCTCTCCACCACATCCCTGTCCCCTCAGAGCAGAGGACAATAAACAGTTTAATAATTTAGGATTTTGTAGTGTCAAGAAACCCACCACCTACTAGGTGTGTCTTTCACACCCAAGTAAGCATGCAAATACTGGGTAAAGCCAAGATTAAATACACTTCAGCAGCAGAGCTTTTAAAATGGATCAAATGACGGATCAGATATCCTATTAGTTTGTGATACATATTTTATAGGCAAGGGAAAAATAAAAAGAAATAAAATGGAAACTCCAAACAGTTTGGATACATTCTGTTGGCTCACTCGTGTCATGATTAAAGGATTTCCCAGGAACCTGTAAAACCTTTCTTATCATTTAAGGAGTAGCATTCAGAGCGTGACAGTCATGATTTGGAAATGTGAACTGTCACTACATTCCTATTATTTCACAAGTTAGGGGGATTCGGAAAAAAGAAATGTTGAAGTGAATTAAATGTGTCACTATCACGAGCTTGAAACATGCTAATCCTCTTTTATAACCCGTGTTTCCTTTTAAGAAATAACTGACTTTAGTTTTAAAACCGCAATCAAAAGTAAACATGAAGACTACAACATCAGATTTGAAATTCCACTCACAGCACGCTGTACTCTTATTTATTTAATTGTTCGTTTGCATTGATTTTAACTGGAGTACACTCCAGGTACACGCTATACCTTCGCCAATAAATACACGGTTTTAAAGTAATAAGTAAATCGATCTCGTCGCACCTAAAACAGTACAAGTAT